TAACTTAGCATTTCGTATTTTAAAGACAGTTATTAAATTAATTTTCTTCTTTTTTATTGCAGTCTGATTGAAATACTTGTTTTGAAATTTTTAATTTTACATAAGTTATTATAAATTGTTTAGATAATTAAACAGTTCAGATAATTAGCAGATAATTTTATTCATTTAATAAAGGCATATTACAATCTACAAGAAACAATCTATCAAAGTAAAGTAAAAACACATTAAAATTTCTAAAACTATTTACAATGTCCTTTATACAATATAGAAGAATTGCCGTTTTTTTATAGCTGTTTGTTTTTTGAAATTTATGCATTTATATTTATTCAGATTTAAATTTAGGCACTATGTTATGCCTAGGATATAAGCAATAACGAATAAATAGGTATGTGTTTTTAAAAGTATTAACTACTTTAATAAAAATGCCGTATATAAGTTTTTTCCTAAATATTTTTGTTTTCACTGCTTATTTTTTAATAATTATTCCAGAACAAAATAAAAATAGAGTGAAATTATACTGATATTTATTTTATTTTAGACAATGAATTTATATTTTTGATTGGTGTTTCTTGCACTATGGTTTAAGGGTGAAACAATTTTTCTGATTTTAAAAGAGTTTAATCTCAAATTCAATAAAATAATAATTTCGTTTTAAAATAGTGTTTATAATTTAACTTTCATAAATTCAGCTTATTTCAAAAAAAAAATTATAAAATTTTTTACTGTAATATTAAGTTAACTGCATACTTTTGAATGAAATAAAATTTAGTTCGATAAAATTACCATTTCTGCAATTATGCTTATTATTATAATATGAACTTGATTACTTTCTTTCTTTTTACGTTTTATTTTGTTTTATCTTTTGACCATACATTTTTAAACATATTAAATTTTAAAAAAAAGTCTAATGATTTCGTAATGACGGCAGTAAAATAGTTTCTTTTTTAGAAGTTTCAATAGTAAACATTTAAATCGTATCTAATTGTGTAAATACGCAACAAGAAATTTTAAAATACGCATCTTTTTTTTCTTCTTTTTTTCGGCTTTGTCGATTTTTTGAAATGTTTATTCATAAATTGATCAACTGTCCCTTTTATGCAATTTTGTCTAAAATATATATAATTTGTCTGTAATATATAGTTTTTTAATTTTTTTAAATATTTCATAATTCCAACTTTTATAATTTTATAATTTCTGACAAAAATGAAGTATGTACCCACTTTAGGTGTAAAAAAAGGGAGCAACAGCCATCTCGGAATACACGTGCTTTCATTTTCATGCTAAAAATACGTAAGTTTTGAGTATGTTTGTATCATTGTCCTAGTTCTATGTGTAGTCGTTTGTTATAATAATTATACTAGAACTTATTTTAACACGTTGATTACACGAAATGAACAATTATCTAAACATGAAATAAAAATCATGTGAACTTGACCAAAAAGTTTAATCCAAAGAACACTGATTGTGTAACTGATTAAGAAGGTTTCAAGTGAGAAATAATTTTGCTCATTGACGAAAATTCAAATATGAAACAGCTCTTATCGTTCGTTATTATTTTCTATTAATTTCACTATAAATATTATGATTTTAATCTGTCAACTCGTAATCTCTGTTTTTGCTACTTCTGAATCACATCTACTCCAGAGGAATTGCGAGAGAGAAAAATTTATTTTTCACAACAATGGATAAATAGTCAGTATTTAGAGCAAAAAACTGAAAAAAGTCGCGGAAAAGAACTCAAATTTGTAATAATTTTCGAAGAATTTGAAATTTTGGAACAAAATTAGCGTTTACAAATAAGATTGGCTCTTTCAACTTTTTCACCACTTGTTTAACCCCTTCTCTGTCGGCTTCGCATCTCATACGTTCATCGTTTTCGTGACCGCATGGTCGGCTTCACATGCAAGGCGACGAAGAGAAAAATTGCATTATTGAAATTGAATTCGTCGCTACTTTCACGTCTTCTTAAATCCCGCGATTATTTTTGTATTCCTGAATATTGCTTAGAGATGGAAGCAATTAGTCCTCCGTTCTTCACAATTTTTGCAGTGAGATTTTCCGACTTGAATTGAAATCAAAATCACTTTGTACTTTCTGTATTTTCGCTATCATAAGTGTTAAAATTATTCGTTAATATTAGAATTGTTTCATTTCATTAGTATCAAAATTGATTATTATAAATATTAATTATTATCAATTACTTCATTAGTATTAAAGTAATTTTGCACACTATTTTTTGCCTTATTATAATAATTTTATGCAATATTTATTTTTTACAACTTAATAAATAGTTAATAAATATGCTATCACAGTGTATTTTTTTACGATAAAACTTGGATGCATTGCATTGAAAATTGGAGATTTGTGGACGGAACATCACATATTTCGCCCCTAGTATGAACCGTTTGCTGCTAAAGTATTTTGCATTTTTGAATTTGGGATAGGACATAGTTAAGTTTTCAGCAGTAAAAAAATGCTTTTTTTATGGGTTGGAAATTCGGAAAAAAATCCAATAGAAAAGAGGTTTAACCCGTAGTTTCATCTTAGTGGGCTGAAAATTGATCAAACATGGTATTTTTCCTCACAAGTTGAACAGTTAATAATTCTTGAACTAACCATTGAATTTTTTTTTATTTCATTGTACCCCTTGTACTTTTTTCGGCATGCCTTTATAATTTCAATTTTCTTAATCTTATAGATTTTGGGCATCAAAACAAAATTCAATATAAAACAATGAAAAAATGATTAAAAAAAAACTTGCAAAAAAATCACTTAAAAATCACTTTCAAACAAAATGGAATTTTGATAAATATTTTAAATTTATGAATAATCCTCTTTCAGCTTAATCAAATTTCTTGAAACATTCCTGTAGCCTATAAAGAGGCCCATTTGGTGTTTTGCTCAACTTGTTGTAAAGTTAAATATTCTCGAACTAGTTACTAAATGACACATTTTTATTCCATTACACTCCCTGTTCATTTTTCTACACACTTTAGTAGTTTTAAATTCTTAAATTTTACAGTTTTTGGCAACATAACAAAATCTAACGTTAAGTAGATCACTCGAAACCTCTTACTATTTTTCAATTCCTACTATTTGTTCACCCTCTCCCTATATCTTGTTCAAATTTTAAATTGTTAATAACTTACTTTTTATTCATCCACTGAAGTTAAAATGAATTTTTTTGAAATTGTAGTGGATGACACTTGATGTTAACACAGTTTTTAAAAACATTAATTCATTCTTTAAATTTAATTAATTAATTAAAATTTCATATGGGAGGAGAAATTTTAATTATTTAATTAAAATGAACTAAAATAGAAATTTCCTTTGTTGACCTAAGTAAGAATTGACTTTAAATTTTATTAAATATTACTTGATTAATATAGGGAGACAATAGTTGTCACAAATAACGTAAGACAGTCACTGAATTTGCTCTTGAAACAAATACTGGCTGGAAAGGAAATATGCAGTTTATGCTAGGAACCGATGCAAGAACCAATAAGATAGAGTTTAATGTATGCGGAGAATGCGAGGACACTTTTCGCTGCTGCTGCGGAGGATTCATTAAAGTGATTTTTCGACTCATCGAGTTAAAGATTAACTGTTGGAAATGTACACAAGGTAAAAATGCAACTTTTAAACCGTAAGAAGGATTTACCTCAGAAAACGATAAACAATATAAATCTGCTGCTTTTATCAAGCTTATAACGTGAAAGAAATTAAAGAATTAAAGGCTTTTACTGTACTATAAAATTTCTCAACTTTCAAGATATGATTATTGAAGACCTTGCTGAATCAGTACGTAGTAAAAAGAATGGTAGGCAGGGAGGTAGGCACTTCATTTAAATCACATTAGAGTTGAACAATAGGCTATTGGCGATGGTCTGGAAAACATCCCTGAGAATGATTCGAAAGCATGCCCTCGCACTTTGGAGGCACTCTGCAGAGTGGATGGCTCCCCTGCTTTAGTGAGAATAATGAAGTCGAAACATTGAAAGATTAATACTCAACTGCAAAATCTGGCATCAACANTTAACTGTTGGAAATGTACGCAAGGTAAAAATGCAACTTTTAAACCGTAAGAAGGATTTACCTCGGAAAACGATAAACAATATAAATCTGCGGCTTTTATCAAGCTTATAACGTGAAAGAAATTAAAGAATTAAAGGCTCTTACTGTACTATAAAATTTCTCAACTTTCAAGATATTATTATTGAAGACCTTGCTGAATCAGTACGTAGCAAAAAGAATGGTAGGGAGGGAGGTAGGCACTTCATTTAAATCACATTAGAGTTGAGCTATAGGCTATTGGCGATGGTCTGGGAAACATCCCTGAGAATGATTCGAAAGCATGCCCTCGCACTTTGGAGGCACTCTGCAGAGGGGATGGCTCCCCTGCTTTAGTGAAAATAATGAAGTCGAACCATTGAAAGATTAATACTCAACTGCAAAATCTGGCATCAACAAATAAAAAAAAAGAAATTAATGTTTTCAAATATGAAATGTCAGTGGTGCAACAATACTCAATTCTTATACAGGGGCCTCTCTGGCCAAGTGGTATCGTCCGTCAAATGATGTGCGTAGCGTGAAGGTAGCGGGTTCGATCCCGCAGTTACCCTGGATTTATCTTCGTGCTGACTTTCTCTGTTTTCTGCGATTTGCCTTTCTACTTGGAAAAGGTTCATAAGTCTTAATGTGAACCCAAGTATTCAAATGTATGTCGTACCAATAAATAAGTACATATACACACATAGAAATTGCGGGGCCTCCTTGGACGAGCGGTAAAGCCGACAAACGCTGTTCGAAGCGTTGAGATGGCAGGGTCGAATCCTGCCTTAACTCTGGATGCGTTCTGCGTGATATCTTTCTTCGTTACAAATGTTTATGAGCCTATATAAATTAGCACAGAAACCCGCAAATGTATGTAATTTCAATAATAACGTAGAAGTTGATGACATAGCAGAAACAGAGAACTGAGATCAAGATAAATAGTAAATTCAGTTTTTAAGTTTCGATGTAAACTACTCCTACAAAATTATCGGTGAAGATTTTTCGTTGCATCAATTCACAATCAACGCACATAAGACAATACGTAAGCCGATCGTTGTACAATTCACAGCAAAGTGCGAGCTATATCTTTGTTAAGTAACAGCAAAAAGAAAACATCTGCTGGCCTCGGAAATGTTGTTAAGATTTGACACACTTCCGATCTATTTTGACGAGCATTTAGCCCCAGGTAAGAAATTTTTTTCATCTCCTTCAGAACAATTTAAATGTGAATGTTCGTCAAAACAAAAACTCGTACAATTTAGAGTTACTTGATTATAGAATCTCCTAAATAATTTTAGAATCGCTTGATTATAACTTTGACAATTTTCCAAATTTTAGACATTCCAGATAGATTAAAAATGTTCCTGTGCCCTATAATAATAATTCATAATTCGTCACTATTATTCGTATTTAAATAATGGGAATTGTATTAAATTTACACGAACTCATTGTGATTTTATGTGATTTCTTAACTTCATTGATACTATCATTTATTCAAAACCTTGTTGTCCAAAAATAAAATCGATCTTTTCAGAACTAATACTTATACGTTTTTTTATTGTTGGAGAAGTTATGATAGATCTGGAGGTGTTTTAGTTAAGTTCCAATCGTGTCTCAAAAAATAGCATATACAAATGACTTCTGCTGAATTGATTTTCAGGCAAAATGATCTCAACTTGTTAATTGTATCCTTGTATGTATCACATTTATACGCAATATAATATTTTAGTTCAGACATTAGCATATCTTTGAATCAACTGACCGATAAAAATGAGTTAATTATCGGTGACATTGATTTATTGAAATTAAATATACATAGTAACAAGATTTTAGTTCTATAAACTGAGAATGGTTTTATCCCTCCAAAGTCGGCTATACTTGTCTCGACCACGATTTTAATCGTAACTTCTCCATGGAAACAAAACAAATTTTACTTCATTAAATAATAAATAAGCATTTAATAAATAATTATTTAATAAATAATTATTTAATAAATAATTTTTTAATAGATTTATTTATAAATATATTTAATACATTAATTTAATAAATAGTGTAAGCAATCACGATCCTATTATTAGTAAATTAAAGATACATGTTGTACGAATATAGAATGGAAGTTAAATTTCGAGGTAAATAACAAAAGCAAATTTATTAATTACGAATAGACGGAAAAATCTTAACCAATAGCGATTATATTTTCGAGTCTGGTGCTCTTTTTCTTTATTGTTCTAAAAGTAAATTAAAAAAATTTCTTTTCCAGTTCCTTAATCTAACAAAATTATTTGGACAACATCTAAAAATCTTCAAATAAATAAAACTAAAAACAAGAATTTTTAAGAAAGTTTTTCAATTACCTGGCGCATAATTTTTAAATGCAACTTTATTAAAAAGCAGTCAAAGTTCTGAAAAGTGCAATTAGACTACTTAATTTTTTTGGGGGAAAATTTAACTACTGCCATATCAACAAAATGCAATTAAAGTTAAACAAAATTTTACATGAAGTGAAAAAAAAATCCAAAAATTAAGGATTTCTTATTCTCAGCCAACACTATGAATTTAATTATTTTACTTTAATTATTTTCCAATTCTTATTAAAGCCATAACTGTCTAAAAAGGAATTTCCCCAAATATATTATAAAATACGTTTACTCATGTCAATGTTTGAGAATCAGAAAGTAGAATAAGTTTTTAAATAGAATCTTTAAATGTCTAGACTAAACGGAAAAAAAGATTCAGCTGGGATGAAATTAAGGCAAATATTAAAAAAAAATATGTACCGGAAAAAATTATCTACTTATTTTAAAAATTATTACGAAAAAGTATTTTAACTTTTTAATTTGAAAACTTAATAGATGCCAGCGCTTTTTAAACCCGACTAAAAACTGTAATTATTTCTCTAATACTTAGGAAAGGCAAAACAAGCGATTTTTCAAATTTCAGACCAACATCTGGGTTACCTCAACTTTCCAAGATATGTAAAAATAATTTTCAAGATGAATTTTTTTTCTATCTTCAATCATTTTTTTCTTCTTTCTAGAGCAGAATTTTACTGAGAAAGCGTTGCTTCTGTAATTTTATGTACAATATTGTAGATAAAAATACACTGGTGTAAACAATTACGGGAAAAAATGTTTTTTTTTGTATTAAAAGGAACAAAAAAAAGGTAAAAACAAATATTGTCAAAATATCATCCGATATATGATTTATATATGAGATAACAAAATGGACGCAAAATGTTCTACCCTAAATAAAGAAACTGATCACTAGTCCAGCAGAGCAGCTCCAACACTCTGTCAGTCAGAGAAAAGCATGTCTAGTTGGGCAGATGATAGGTTATAACAGCTACACAGCTCTCACATTGGTTTATCATACAGCTTTCCAGAATCCTTATCTATCCATGTGGCAACCAAACCCACTCTTCCATCACTTCACCCTTGATATCATCGATGGCCATTAGAGCTTAACTTCGAGCTGCAATTCAGCATATGAGGGCGTCCCATGCGTATTCTATGGGATTAAGGTCAGGAAATATCACAATCCATTCTACTTGTTGAATATCCTCCGATTGGAGGTATTCATCCACCAATTTAGCCCAAAGTGAACGGGAGTTATCTTTCATGAAATTGAATTTTGGTCAGAGGATGGAGGGCTCGCTTTCCAATGAGGTGAACAGGGTTTGAATCCCAGAATGGCTGATCGATTCGAATTTCACACCGTTCCCGCGTTGACCACAGTGCTGACCTAAATCATCCTCAGTGGTAGACGGATCATGGGTTAGAGTCCTCTTGCCGTCAAGATAACCGTAGGAGTTTTTCATTTTCCTCTCCTTGAAACTCAAATGCAGGTTAGCTTCATTGAAAAAGTCCTCGACAAAGGCAAATTTCTTCCATCACTTGATCCAGGAGTTCCCTTGTCTTCTGGATTAAGTTTAAAATTACAAGGATACAGAGTTGCGCATTGGTAGTCATAAACTCGAAATCGGGTCATCTGTTCAACGATGATCATAAAATAAAAGAGGCATACTGAAATTAAATCAGGCATTTATATTTTAACACAGGTACTTTTTAAATGTATGTTTTTCTCAGTGACTTTAGTGTAAAATGCTAAGATAAATACATAGATTCTATGATAGCACCAATTATCTTATTATTATGTTCTATATATTGTATTGAACATGCACAATAAACGAAAAACTGTATATTATTACATTAACTATATATTAATATATCAAAATTATGTACTTAAAAGGAATTTCAATTATAATTCAGTACATTATGTCTAAGTTAATCTCTTATCGAAAATTTTCTTTACTATTTCTGGTTTTAATATTTATGTTAATTACATAGAAATATATTTATTTCCTCTTTTAAAAATTTCGCAGATGAATTATGCTCATTTATATTTAACACAGCTTCATTCTAAATATTCATCTGTGCCATTGTTTTACAAAGGAAAAATGAGTAATTAAAGAAATGAATACAAAGAATAATTTCAATTTGAAAAGGCGATTACGAATAAAGATTTTTTGATCTATAAATTAGATAATGCATGTAAAGGCAATGCTGTGCTTATTTTATTCATCCTTTTTTTCCCCCAACTTGTTAAAGAGGTTTTCGCCAAATTGGTGACATAATTATTTTTATTGCATTTCAACGAAAAGAATCGTGGTGACACAAATTAAAGTGGGAAATATTTCACTCTTTCATTAAAAATAAATCAACCTCATTTACAGCGAAAGTTGCTTGGAAAACAAATCCGTAAACACGTGCTTTTAATGGAAAATTCTTTTGATCTTTCTGCTTTTTTCGCCCTCTTAAGCTTTCACTCATCGCCAAAGGGTGAGAAAAACAAAAAGAAATAAATTCTCAGATGTGAGAAAATAGCTCGGAAAAGGGTAAGTGTAAATTGAAAAATCCCTATTATCTCAGGGCCGTAATGGAAGCTATATTTCAAGAAATCAAAATTGATTCTATACAGCGCCAACTCCTTGGCGCTAAATGTGAAAATTCTTTATTTTCTTCCATCTTTTGTTTTTACTAGTAACTATTTGGCGCCTGTAGAGTTTCATTGATACGAATTTAAGACCAATATTTTATTTAATTGCGAAATTTTGTTTTTTGTATAGAGAAGATTTTAAAGTAATTCTAGAAAATGCAAGGAATAGAATTTCAGTTTTTGTATCATTTGTGAACATTCTGCTATCATATTATGTCATGTATATCAAGAGTAAAAAGCAACGAAATTTTATGAAATAAATTTTATTGAAATGCCAAGTTGAGGTAGAAAAATGCATTTATTCTGATTTGACGTTGTTCTGTTCGCGAAGCGGTGGAAGAAAAACTCATTTTCCCGTTTCAGGCGTTTGGCGTTACAAAAATGAATTAAAAAAAATAAATAAATAAAAAAACGGCTTATTATAACTTTTGAAACATGATTTATATGCTAAATATATTACAATGTAATATTTTTTTGAAAATATTCCTCAATTTGTTTCAAATTTATTTTTTGTAGTTGGCATGAGTTTTATTGATTCTTTATTCTGTTATATTTTTCTGTAGATAGATTAGAGAAAATGTCAACATGTAAATTGTAGGTTACTATTAATAATCCCTGTTTATCTTAAAAATAATCAGATTCATTAAGATAATGACCAGAGTACACAATAATTAGAGGAACATTTGTTTAGAAATTTTTGATAAATATTTGATTAATGAAAATATTATTAGGCATGATTGGATTAATATATGCAATGTAAACATTATTGAATCTTTTCTAATTAAGGGCATTGGTTTTTACAAGCATATTCAAGGTATTTCAATGGGAAATTGTTATTCAAGTGTATTGCTTACATTTATATGAATATAAATTTTTACAACATAATTTATTAATTGGGTGTAGATTTATTGATGATTTGATTGTTTTTTATCGTAATAATTTTGATTTAATTAAAGATATTTATCCCAAAGAATTTAAATTAATAAAGACTAATTCAGATGTTTAAGACGCCATTTTTTTAGACCTTGAAATTAAACTTCGTCATCGTATTTGAATTATAGTAAAAAAGGAGAGGATTTAAGTATAATATTATTAGTTTAATACATTTTTATTTCACTTTAAGTAAATATAAGGATTTATATATTTAAAAAAAAATTGAATGGTCAAATTCTTAGGTTTAAATTTATTTGT